GTGGTCGTGGTGGTGGTCGTGGTCGTGGTTGTGGTCGTGGTAGTGGTGGTGGTAGTGGTAGTGGTAGTGGTAGTGGTAGTGGTAGTGGTAGTGGTAGTGGTAGTGGTAGTGGTAGTGGTAGTGGTAGTGTCAGTGGTAGTGGAAGTGGTGGCAGTGGGAGTGGCAGTGACAAAAGCTGCAAGGGCACATGCTGGACGACGAAAACAGCGTGCACTCGACCCCAGCCCGTTTCCAAACTGAACAGGGTGTGCAAAGTCTGAACTACCCCAGGGGAAGAAGCAAGCAAAAAGTTGAAGTCCGGTTGCGTGATTACTTCCCCCGAAATGTTCTCCGGCGGCGTCCACTGCAACGTGCCCTGCAGGTCATTGATGTCCAGGTCCTTGGAAAGAGGTTAAGGGCTGTTGGGTTTGGGACTGCAGGCTGTGCACCAACCCGAAGATGCTACGCGCCCGGCCTCGCCCACCCAGAACACATCTTTGACCGGCATGTCCGAGTCGATGATTCCAACGTAGGCCGGCGTCGTCTGCTCTGCCAGCGTCGAGCGCGCATAGACGAGGAGGTAGTTCTGGAGCTTCCAACTCTTTCGAGGGTTTGGGGGCTAAGCAACAGAAGACCCTGAAATCTCACAATGTCGAACAAACAGCCGAGGCAGTGTTCCAGCAGTCTTCGCCTATGAGACCACAGAAGCGGAAGGAGATTGAAGCTTGGTTGTCAGAGGCGGATCAGACTCAGGGTTCCGCCATTGAGCGAACCAGTCTCTGCAGGCAAGCAGCGAAGAGCATGCTGGTGTTGTCCGAACCGAAGTAACCTAGGAAGGCTCGAAACAGGAGCCATGCAAGCATGGACTTGGCATTCTTTGATATCTTTGCTTCCAAGGCACTTGGGTGGTAGAGCGATGTTTCCGCCGGAATGGCAATTTCAGAGAATGGCTGTGGGACGTAGGTGAACAAATAACCTTGCAGTCTCTTTTCAGGCTAGCTGCTGTCTTTGTGGATGCCATGCCGCATGCAACAGTGTGGTCAGGAGACTGCTGAAGCATACATGCATGTAGAAAGGTAGCAGGCATTCCTGTAAAGACCGTGACAAGGCACGGTTGTTCAGGCCAGCGGCGTCCAAGCCGAAGTACACCTGATTTGAGAACGGGCTCTTGACTTTCAGGGCATCAACAACATGAACGCTTGTCGAGAAGTTCCAAGTGACCCCACACGACAGCAATTTTCTCTGAGCTGCCATGTAGTGGGTGATCAGGCCAGCGTCCAGAGAAGGCTGCTGCCAAGTCAAATTCCCGCCGAATTGGTTCACGTCCAGGTCTAGATCGGTGAAGCTAACCTTCGCAGAGAATCCCACATTGCTTAGGACAGATCACAGCATGGTTTGCGTTGCTTCTGCATCACCAACATGCGAAACAGTTTAGGAATGTTCGGGCGGCAGCAGTACTAGATTTATTCCAACAGCTTGTATTCACAGTCGCGGACGCACTGTTGCACTTAGACCTCTTTTGTGGCCTGCTGCGCTTGAACGAACGTGTCCGAGATGGCCAGGGCTGCAGGTGTGTTCTCTTCCACCAGCTGCGTCTCCTACGGTGTCACACGGTGCACAATTGTGCACAGGCACTGGGTCAATGGGCTCCAAGCCCTTTCCTCTCTTCGGGGATTAGGCGCAGGGAATCCGTGGATGCATCACGCCTAGCAAGCTTGGGCTCTTAGGCTACCGAGACCTCGGCGGCCACCGCGAACATTCTCTTGACAGTTACAGTCGAGCAAAACTTGGGAACAAAGATTTAAGCTGATGGCAGAGGGGTCGCAGCCCCAGGAGGAGTTGGTGATACCATGATGCCTGGAAGACACAGAAGTGGGTTGCGTGCTGGCTTCCCGCCAACCAGACCTGGCAAACCCGAACCAAAGGGAGAAGCTGCTCGCGAAACAGCTAGCTTGAAGGCCGGGTCATATGCTGGCCCAAGTGGCTGCGCATTAGGTTAGCTGTGCGCAGTGGTAGCGCTAAGTTGCAAGGCTGAGGCTTAGAGCCCAGACACAACGTGACCTCGAAGCCACACCTTCAACTAAAGTTGGGTCGACCGTGGTGTCGGGCTCCACGTCGAACTCGTTGCTTCCTTGGGGGATGCCTCGTCAGAGCCCCAGCACACACCCTTGAGAAAATCTTACTCTTCCCACCGTGTGAAACAAAACATAACTGACGTGGCACGTAAATCGCCTGTTGATGCGTCCGCAGTGTCAACATGGTGTTGCGACCCCCGAGATCACGTGATGATTACATGCCCCACTTTTTGCAGTTTGGCGTTGCCGCAAAGTTCCGCTCGCAATAGCTCTTGGGTAAATTCGGCGTAGATGATGTCTGACCTGATGCAGCCTTTGCTCGTTCCAAATGGTTACCAGCTTACGATCCTCGTCTGTAGCCTTTGCAGCGCTCTCGTGAGGCGTATTTATGCCGCTACAAGGCCCCAGCAGCTGTAGCAAGCTGCTCGCGCGTCGCTTCAAACCGCAAACCGCTTCTGCTTCATTGCTTGTTTTGCGTTGTGAAACTGGCGGAAGCTTTTGGACTTCTCTGCGAACGACCCCATGCTCGAAGCCTAGAGTTCGGGGTCCAGGTGAACCGAGCTCATGATGGCGTGGTTCCTTTGCGCGCCTGTCCCATTGCTGATGCGGAAGCGGTTCGAGCCAGTTTCGTCCGTGGCCAGGAAGACATGATAGGCGACCTTGGTAACAGACACCAGTAGCAGCTGGCTGCTAGAGCCTTCAGGATCGCCCTCGCAAGCATTCATAATCCCCTCTATAGCACAGAGTGGCACAGAGTGCCAATCTGCGAACCTTCTCCAGAAGATGACTGGGAGCCACATTTCCGCACCGAGCAACCACCTTGTAGCTTTGGCTGTGCTCAAACCAGCCCAAGGTACCACCAAGCTGGCAGGGAGATGAGCGAGGTGCAGCGGTCCGGGGTATCGGAAATATGATTCCAGAAACCAAAGAGGCACACGGTTTGCAGAGCCCAAACCCGACAAAAACTGAAAGACCCCAACAGCTGCACCCTTTTCATCGCCTCGTCGTTATCGAGGTCAAGGTCCGTAAAGGTGAGCAGAGTCACCCTGAAGCCTGGGATTCGGAGCGAGAGTGCTCAGGTGGGCTCAGATCGAGTTTAAGATGCCCTTCTGTGATGCTGAGGCTCTTGACCTCGGTGTGGGCTAGGAGCCTTTCAAACCGCAATACACCACTGAGAGCCTTGCTGTCATCGGGAATGAACCTCGTCGCAGGGCGTGTTTGCTCTGCGATGGCCTCGCACGACAGACGACAAGACCCTCATTGTTGTTGGACTTTGGCTTGCTGGCTTGGTCCTATTTTACAAAGCCCGCACCGAACCACCAGGCCTGTTTAAAGGACGGCCAAATCTAGACCGAAACACTTGCACCACAAGCCCCTACGACATGTTGGCCCTTATGCAACTTATGCATATTTGAAAACCAAGTTTGATGCTAAGTCAGGAAAGTCTGAAGGACTCTGCAACAGGACGACGCAGGTGAACTGTAACAACTGCGCTGACCCAGCGTTTTCCTAGTGGCACTCGCTGGGGCACTCACACATAGTGACACATGTACAGGCACATACCGAAAAAGCATATGTGATCCGGCTCTCGATTCGCCGAGCCCCCGCCGACTCCGACATGACGGTATGAAAAATGCAACTGTCACTTGATCGCGTTCCTGACAGGCCCGAGATCGCGTTAGCGACAGGTCGGCTTCCTGTGACAGTTGACCCAACAAAGGAACATGATGGTGATGATGATGATGATGATGAGGATGACCCCAGCACCACCGAGGGGAACAACAATGGGGGGACAACAATGGGGAGGGCTACAACTACTAACTACTACGAAGACTACGACTACGACTCCGACTACGACGACGACGACGACTACTACTACTACTACTCCTGCTGCTGTTGCTGCTGCTGCTGCTACTACTCCTACTGCTGCTGCTGCTGCTGCTGCTGCTGCTGCTACAACTGCTACTACTGCTACTACTGCTATCACCGCTACCACTACCACCACCACCA